CCACGAGGTGGGAGGTGGGCCCGTCCGCCCCTGTGTGGAAGGATCTGGAAACCTGGCCGTGTGGCCAGTGCAGGCCCACAGCCCTGTCTCCTCCACGAGGTAACACCCAGGGAGAGAGGATGGGGCGGCCGTGAGGTGGGGGGGAGCTGGGGTCCCACCAGGTGGGGTTTGGGGTGAACCTAGTGTCGGGTTTCTCAGGGGAGAGCTCCAGAAGTGCCGGGCTGGGGCCCTGGCTTGGCCACCTGCTCCCACGTCGCGGGCTCCTGCCTCCTGTGTCTCTGCCCTGTGCATCTCCCCGTGAACCTGGGCGAGAGCCAGCTGTGGCGGCCAGCACGACCCCGGGTCCAGGCCTGGGCCTACAAGCCCTGGCACACATGGTCTCTGCTTCCCAGGAGCCCTGGCCGCCTGTGAGAGACCAGGCCGCTCCCCAGAAGGGTCCCGGGAGCCGCACGGAGGGCCCTGACTACCCGGAGGAGACGCCGGCCTTCCGTCCAGGCCCCAGCTGGCTGGCCAGTCACGGCTGCCACAGAAATGACCACTGACGAGACCAGCACGGCCCCTCCCGCCAGGCCCAGCTCACTGCGCAACTGATTGCTGGCGGACACAGCGGGTGTTTGAGCACTGCACCCCTCCCTACCCCCACCCGCACCCCTCCCATCCCCCCCACTCTCACACCAGCACCCTACCCCTCCCCCACCCACACCCCTCCCCTCCCCTTTCTCACACCCACACCACTCCCCTGCCCCGCCTGCACCCGCACCCCTCCCTGCCCTCACACCTGCACCCCTCCCCTCCCCCACCTCCACCCCTCCCCCGCCATCACACCCGCACCCATCCCCTCCCCCACCTGCACCCCTCCCCCCGCCCTCACACCCGCACCCCTCCCCTCCCCCCCCACACCGCTCCCCATGAGTGTTGCCGCGTGGCCTCTACTCGCTGATGGAAACCGAAATCGGCCTCGTTCGCGTTTATAAAGCACTGCGCCAGGACAGGCCCGTGACGACGAGGAGGAAGCTGTTCGGCTCCAGCGTTAGGAACGGGCTCCTGCTGGACGCATCCACCCTCAGACACGTGCGCCTTCCGTCTCATCTCAGCCGAGCTCCAGCCGCAGCCGCAGCTCACGTTTCACACAGGTGTTCTCTGGGCGGTGTCACTGACGTGGAGCGGGAGTTTGCTCCTCGGCCCCTTTGATGTTCACGCATGCACAGAGAGGTGCTTTACTCAGACGGAAAGACAGACGCGGCGAGATTTAACAGCAGAATAGGGCGGGAGGGGTGCGGGTGTGAGAGGGGAGGGGAGGGGTGCGGGTGTGAGAGGGGAGGGGAGGGGTGCGGGTGTGAGAGGGGAGGGGAGGGGTGCGGGTGTGAGAGGGGAGGGGAGGGGTGCGGGTGTGAGAGGGGAGGGGAGGGGTGCGGGTGTGAGGGAGGGGAGGGGTGCGGGTGGGGGAGGGGGAGGGGTGCGGGTGTGAGGGCGGGGAGGGGTGCGGGTGGGGGAGGGGAGAGGTGCGGGTGTGAGGGAGGGGAGGGGTGCGGGTGGGGGAGGGGTAGCAGGTGGGGGAGGGGGGGGTGCGGGTGTGAGGGAGGGGAGGGGAGGGGAGGGAGGGGAGGGGAGGGGAGGGGAGGGAGGGTGGGGAGTGGCAGAGTTCAGGGTGGGGAGGGGTGTGGGTGTGACGGTGGGAAGGGAAAGAGAGTAGGTGGGGAAGGGTGTGGGGGGGAGGGACAGGGAGGGGAGCAGGTGGGTGGCCCGCCAGGGAGGAGTTTCCCACTTCCTGCAGCTGAACCCCTGCAGCCTCGGAAGCCGGGGTCTCTTGTGATGCTATGGGGGCTTCTGAACCGACACTGGACCCTTAGCTCCACAGCCAACCTGCCCCCCGGATGAACGTTCTGCACAGACTTTCATCATCGGAAAAGGTGGTTTTCCGAGGCAGCCATAAACCCGATCCAAGTCCTCAGAGAAAGGCTGACTCCGCCCCAGGCCTTCTGAGCCACGCTGAGGGACCTGGGAGGAGGCGCAGGGGTCTCTGGAAGCTCCTTCAAGTTGGGCTGAGCCCAAAACACCTGCCCTCCTCCCACCCTGCCAGAGCATCCCAGAGGGACCCAGCACCCGCAGCTTCAGTGAGCCATGCCCTCACCCTGCCGGTTCCACAATGCAGCCCTGCTGCAGGGATTCCCTTCCTCAGGGGGCCCCGACACCAGCTTCTCCCAGCGCCAGCTTCTGCCCAACGCTGGCTTATCCCAGCGCCAGCTTCTCCCTGATGCTAGCTTCTCCCAGCATCAGCTTCTTCCAGTGCCAGCTTCTCCCCAGCGCCTTCTCCCCGACGCCAGCTTCTGCCCGACGCCAGCTTTTCCCAGCGCCAGCTTCTCCCAGCGCCAGCTTCTCCCCGACACCAGCTTTTGCCCAACGCCGGCTTATCCCAGCGCCAGCTTCTCCCTGATGCTAGCTTCTCCCCATCACCAGCTTCTCCCAGCCCTCCAGGGCAGAGGAGCCACTCCGCACAAAACTTCCCAAAGCTCGGAAATGCTGTGAATACACCCACAGCAGCTGCGGCCTGGCCGGGACAGAGGCTGAGCTGGCCTGGGCAATGAGCATCCCATGCATTCCAGAGAAGGACAGGTCCACCCAGCCTGCCTCCAGAGCTCCCGCCCTGCAGCATCCAGAACCCCCACAACCGTCTGCACCCCTGCAACGAGCGGGACAGCGAGACACAGCGGCCCTTCCTGGAGGAGCCACCGACTGGCCGGCCGACCGTCCTCAGCAGGAACCTCCCGAGCTCACGCCGGCCTCGGTTCCACCTGCGAGCAGCCGTCTAACCCAGACCAGACGACCCCGTCAGCAGGTGAGAGGTCAACTGTGTTTTAATCTAAATTCAGCTTCGTGGTTTCTCCAGAAACGAGAAGCTCCTCGCCAGGATGAGGGTGAGGGGCGTCTGCGGCTCCAGCCTGTCGGCGCATCGGGGAGTGTTTCAGTGACGGCTCCCGCCGAGAAGCCGAGAGCGGAGGACAAACGACCTGGACATTTGTTCTCTGCTTCTGAAAACAAGCAACCTGCGTGTGTGTGTATGAATAGGCAGCGTGTCTTATTCAGACATAAAGCGTGAAACACCAACGCGGCCCGGCTCCCTTCCCGAAGCATTCACAAGCTCACGTGCCCTCCGGCGCGGCACCTACTCACTGACGGCTGCGGACCCGACGCCGGCTGGGGCTGGGACAGGGTCAGAGACCCGCCCCGACCTCACGGGACAGGAGGGCAGACGTGCTCAGACAAACGCATCGCCCGGCAGCGTGGGCCGCGGTGGCCGAGCTCCAGGGAAGGACAGGCGGCCTCTCCCGCCCGCTGACCGCACAGCTCACAGTGATAGTGACGGCAACGGTGGGGGGTGTGGGCTTTGATGGGGGCGGCCGCGTGAGGCCGGGCACCCCTCGGCTCCCGTCCCTCGCAGGCCAGTGGCCACCCTTCCCGCAGCGCCCTGGCATCCACTCGGCCAGCACAGCGGCTGACCTGGGCAGGGGTCAGGGTGTCTCTGCTGACCGTGTTCGGGGCGGCCTCTGCGAAGGTGCCCCGGCCTCTCCGGGCAGAAGACACCGCCGTCTGCGGCCCCACGCCGTCTGCTCAGGCCTGGGCTTTGAGGAGCGGACACCGGGAGCCAGGGTCCTGGCCGGTCCTGGCCCAGGCGCCTCCCAGCACCGTGGGCAAAGCGTTTCTCCTCCAACACGCGGACACACACTGAAAGCTCGGAAGGGCAAATTATTTCAAAATTAGCCTCCTCCCGAGAAGGCACCAGCAATGCAAAAGCTTTCCTTGTCACTGCTCTTAGCTGGTTTTCTCTATAATTTAAAACACGTTTTCAAATTATGCCCTGATTCTGTAAGAAGCCAAGTGAGATGTGAGAGGCCTTTAAGCCCATTTTGATTGAAGCACTTGGGTTTCTGGCAAACTGCACGAAATCAGGACCCCATTATCAAGGCTGAATGCCTCCTCGGCTTCCAGGGATTCGAGCAGGTGCAGAAAACTCCAAATGGCAAATATAAAAAAGAAAAAAAAAAACAGCCAAAAAACAGGCCTTGTGGGGGCATGACCCTCACCTGGCCCACGCCGGGCAGAGGCCCAGCAAGGCACCAGGAACCCCCAAAACCAGAGTGCTCACGGCAGACTTTGTGGAGAGCCGGGCCCACCTTGCTAACCCCTTGAGGGCCACGCTGGGGTCCCTGCATCCACAACTGTTTCCCATCAGTGCAGCCCACTGTGTCCACAGCCCTGCTTGGAAGCAGCGAGGCCCCACCTGGGTGGGAGTGCTGCAGCCCGCGTCTGCACGGAGCTGGCCCGGGCCACACCGCTCTGTGAGCCCAATGCCTGCAGGACCAGGTCCCTGTGGGCAGCACAGACCCACAGGTGTGACACCCTGAGAGGCTCATCACCCGAGGACGCCCTCGCCCCCCTTCCGAGTTCGGCCCAGAGCTTTCAGGTGGCCAGCACGACGCCTGGAGGCAGGGGCGGCTCAGGCAGCTCTGGGGGTCCTGGGGGGGCCATGGCTGCAGCATTAAAGGTGGCTGACGGCAAAGAGCACCCAGCCCGCCGTCTGCGGCCTCCACGCCATCCCCGCCTCCGCTGGGAATGCTGGTGGAGGGGAGTTCCCTCCGGCCCTGCTGCTAACTGGGCCCCGAAGCATCCAGTCGCTGCTGCTGGAGGACCCCCCAGAGCCGGCCAATGCCCTGCACCTCCTCTGCACGCCCCCAGCCTGCGGCTCCCTTACCCGTCAGCAGCAGTCTCTGTGCGGCGGCCCCGGAAACAAACGTCTGCTCTCCCCTCCAGTAGCACAGCAGTCGGCTGACACACAAACCCACAGCAGGACACGGACCCGGGCCACGTGCAGCCTGTGTTCTGCGCCATGCCCTGCACGCCCATCCCAGTGACCACGCATAGGTGGGGCCGCTCCGCCGCCCAGGAGCCGGCGCCCAGCAGCCCGAAGCCCAGGCCGTCGCGGCCCGCCGTGAAGAGCGTACCTGGGGCTTTCTCCACGAAGATGACCTTGGAATCCTGCAGGAAGTTGTGGCCGGACAGGACCATCTTCTTCCCGCCCACAACTGGGTAGCTGTCCGTGCTCTGCTTCTCAACCAGAGGCAGCTCCTGGGCCGAGCGCTGGGCTGCGTCAGAGGGAGAGGGGCGGTGAGGGCCCGTCCGGGTGGGTGGCCTGGGACACACGCATGGCACCCATCAGGTCACGCGGGAGCTGACCCCCCGGAGCCTGCGGGCGACTCCTGCGGACCCCGCAACTTCTAAGGGAGGTGCTGGGCTGTGCGCACACACTTTGCCCGGATGGCGCTCACCTCCTCCTGAGGAAGTCAAAATATCCCCACCTGGCCGGGCATGGTGGCTCACGCCTGTAATCCAAGCACTTTGGAGGCCAAGGTGGGCGGATCACCTGAGGTTGGGAGTTCAAGACCAGCCTGACCAACATGGTGAAACCCCGTCTTAAAAAAAAAAAAAAATCCCCACGTAAGAGTCAGCCAGTTACCCTCAAATCACAGTCACCACACAAATACGCAGAGGTCAGCACAGCGCGGGGGAAGCGCCAGCCTATGCCGTGTCCCCTGGCCACGCTTGGGCGCCAGGAGAACCAGAGCCTGGGGCCCCGGGGAGGGCCCACAGTCAATCACCCAGCCGTGACTGACACAAACACCTCAGTGTTTCGGGACACACTTCCTCTCCTTTTTATTTTTCCCAGTAGGGGCCACGAATCAGGACTGTGTGGAAACCCCGGCAGGCGTACACAGCTAAGGGCACGCACAGCAACGCACGCAGCTGAAACCCGCATGGCCACACGCTGAGGGAGGCTCGGCGGGAACAGCCAGTCCCAAGTCTGTACAAGCGAGAAGCTGAGAAGGGGCGGGACGGTGGCCGCGGGGCGCCCACTTACAGCATTCGATGGGGTTGGAGGCCACCTGCAGGGACAGCGTGCGGCCCCCCGGCTGCGGGACGTGCACGCGGAAGACCAGCCGCACGCGCGTGTTCTTCCTGCCGATGTCGGTCTCGCCCTTCCGGAGTTCAATGTCCGAGTTTCTGAGCTTCAGGATTCCGGCACAGTCGATGCTGCCCAAGACAAATGCCACAGCTTTTCTGCCACGGCTGACACAGGAGCATCGAGGCCTGGCCCTTCACACCCTCTGGCCCTCACCCCAGCCCCAAGAGCTCGTGCCAGGCAGCGGCCACTCCCCTTCCCCGAGGGAAACAAGACCTTGAAGCGAGTGACGTGGGGCCCTCGCCAAGCGCAGAACAGAACCCGACACCTGTGAGAGGGGGCGCGTGGGGGCAAGAGGGGGTGAGGGGGGTGAGGGGGACGAGGGGACAAGTGGGGGTGAGCCCCTAGAAAAGTCACTCCCCACCTTTCCTCCAGCCCCCACCCTGACCAAGCAGGTCCCATCTGAGCTGTTCCAGGCCCTGGCTGCCGCCGGCCACACTGGCCACATACACGGGACGTCCCAGAGCAGCCCAGGGGAGGGGCCGGAGGCAGCAGCTTGCTCTCTCATCTTGGAGTAGTTTCCAAAAAGCTCAGTTTATTACAAGATCCTGTCATTTCCACTATGTTTAAAAGCCCTCATTTTTTGTGTGTAAAACCCATTTCTTCTATGGTTTCATATAAACTCTTACTCAATAATTTGATTCAAAACGAGATTCCAGTAACACATTCCGTGTGTACGTTCCCAATGCAATAAAACCCAGTATTTTTCTTCCTGATAAACTAAGAGTATGCAGAGAATAAGTGCAGACTCCCTGATCCCTGAAAGGCAGTCTGAGAGCACGGTCCTGGCTGCCCACATTATGGTGGGGTGAACGCAGCCGCCAGCAAAGCCAGGACGTCTACTGTGGCCGTGGAGCGCAAGCTTCGTTCTGGAAAACCACCTGACAGTGCCCTGTCCTTGGGAAACTCGGATGACAGCTCTCGAGGCAAACCCAGGGATTCGGAATGAGTTCCCAGGTGTGCAGACTCCCCCAGACGCTTTAAAAGCCAACGTGGAAGGAAAACCTTCCCTTTGTTTTCGACTTAAGAGGCTTTGAATAACTTACTAAAATCCCATGCGAAGCCCCATGTGACGTGGCCCCCGCCATCTACCACGTGCCTCCCTCACTGTCCCGGGACCTCCACACTCACCCCCGAGGGCATCACCAGGACAGGCACCGCCCACGCAGCCTCCCCACCGCACAGGCTCCCGGCCTGCGGTCACCTCGCAAGACTCTGTCCCTGCCCTCTGGCCCAGCTCTGCAAAGCTGGTCTGCACATGTCAGCCATCCCCACGCTTTCACCCACAGACGTGTCTGTTATCTGTTCCCACCACGGCACCGCGTGACTCTCTCGGGAACCAGCTGTCCTCCTCCTGCCTGCCTTCACACGTTGGGGTCCGTGTGTGTGGCACAAACTGAGAGTAAGTGAGTAAGGCCCTATTTGGAAATCACGTTTTGTTTTCAGCTGACTAAAAATTCGCTTTTAAACGACTTGCAGCGTCAGATGAGACCGCGCACCTCAGTGAGGTCCTATCTGCATTGCCGGCAACGCCTCAGGTCAAATGCGACCCGACGTCCGACCGCTCTAACTTCTCGATGCTCGTGTTTTAACCATTCCACCATCTGCGCTGCTGTGCTCAGAAAGAAACAGGGTCCTGGGTCAGGGCTGCACGCGGAGGAGGAGATTTACAGCCGTGTATCTGAGGTATCATTTTAAGTGGCAACATACGCAGGGCTGAAAGCCAAGAGAGAAGCAACTCCAGTGTCAAAAGCACAAGTGAAGTCCACTTATTAGCCATTAAACCAAGAGTGTCCTGGCCATGGAGGCTGGAAGCGTGGGGGGCCGGCCAAACCCCTAGGGCCGGGAGGAAGGCGCGCCCTGCAGCCCCCGCCCCCGAGGCCAGCGGCCCGCGGCCCGCGGCTTACACAGCACGCATGTTGTTCTCCGGCAGGAGCGGGATCTCCAGGACTTTGGTGTTGGAGAGGATGGCCTCGTGGCTGGTGGTGGACACGGTCTTCCCCGTGATCCGGTGCACCTGGTAGAAGGCGTGCGGGCGCAGCAGGCGGTCATCCGCCGTCCCGATGAACAGCTGCAGCATCAGAGGCTCGTTCTCCAAGTAGCCGTGGAGCTGGCGAGAGAACAGAACACCCGCTCAGCACCCCGCAAACGGACTGTTGCACGTCCCCGGGGCGCAGAAAGAGCCTGCAGGGGTTCGAGGCCTGCGTCCCTTCCCAGGCCCCCTTTTTGTGTCTCTGCGATGTCATACTAGTGTATTTCTAAAGCAGACTAGAAATGCCTTGTTATCCTGACGGTCCTGGCCACTGAGGGCTAGGCTTTAAATACCTGTTGCCACTTTCAAAAACACACACATGCGCACATATCCATAGGCTCCCGGGCACTCTCACATGCATGGTCATGGGTGTGCACATGGAGCACCGCACACATGCTCACCGCACACCTGTGCAGGCCACACCAAGGCCACAGTGAAGCTGCCAGGGGAGTGTGGGCAGTGCCCACACCAAGGCCATGTGAAGCTGGTGGGAGAGTGAGTGCCGTGCCCACAACGAGGCCCCGTGAAGCTGGTAGGGAGTATGGGCAGTGCCCACACCGAGGCTATGTGAAGCTGGTGGGGAATGTGGGCAGTGCCCACACCGAGGCCACGTGAAGCTGGCGGGGAGAGAGTGCAGAAACGCTATATCCACGCTGAGCCATGTGTAAGGCCTTGCTTCACGAATAAATCCAGACGAGGTCCCACAGGACATGACCCACGTTCCTGTGGTCCAGTAACCTGGAACTGGGCAGCACACAACTCCCACTCCTGATCAGTGGACGCCACGCTGCGTGTGCACACACACGGCACCACGGGCCCTCCTTGACAGCCCGCTGCACCCTCCTCCTGCAGAGGCAGGGGAGTCCTCAATGCCATCCGGGCAGCCATGCAGTTGGTGTCCAGAGGCAGACATGGGCAGCAGACACTGCCCAGGGCAACTATGCCTGGAGGCACCTACGGCCCACACCACCCACGGAGCCGCTCACAGCTTCTTGAGCAGCGCTGTGTGTGTGAGGCTCAAAACCCACACGGCCGGATAAGACCCTGGCGAATGGAGCGCCCTGGGTCTTCCTCCAGGACGTGGGCAGCCGGGCCCTGCTCCCGCCTCTGGGAAGGCGTGATCTCTTGGCCAGCGCACACGTATTTGGGACCAGCTGCTCTGCGGGACGAGTCGCTCGTGGCGTCTGAGGGGTAAACGCCAGGGCAACGCCCTCTCTCCCCCTCGTCCTCCGCACCACGCGCACGGGTCCGCCTTCCGCACTGAGTTATTTTTATAACTGTTTGTTTTTACCTTTAACGCCACCATTTCCAATCACTGCAGTGTGATTCTATTTGCAAGAGGCAAGTTTGGTTGGGAACAGGAACGTCTGCTTCTCAAAGCCAGCACACTGGCCTAGAGTGAGGCTGTGGGGGTCACACCTTGCACAGCGGGGCCTCCCAGAGCACCCCTCGCTCAGAGCGCCTTCCCGTCTGCGTCCCCAGAGTGCGCCCCGGTGAGCCCCAGCCTCGGAGCCTGAGATTATGACGTGGTCCGTGCAGGGCCTGCAGCAACGCCCCGTCCCGGGACACGCAGATCCCTCTGGTCATGTTTGCGGTCGATGTTCTTACTAAACTGGTTTTAAAATCTCTGAAAACAGAGGGCAACCACGGCAGAGCGACCACGTGAAGAGGCGAATCCCGCACTCCTGTAGGCATGTTCCGGCCACAGGAAAATACGGCGGATGCCACTGAACGCAGATGTCTGTGCAGGGCCAGCGAGGCTTGGGGGAGGGCGGGGGAGCCCGAGCCAGGGGCTGCCCCTCACAGACTGCAGGGGACGGGCCCCGGCCCCTCACATGGCAGATTCTCAGAGGTTGGTGGGCAGAGGGGAGATGGCCCTGGAGGGGCCCGGGCAGGCAGCAAGATGGCCCCTGCTCCACGGCTCCAGCTCAGCCTCAGTCTCCCTGCGGTCACTGCAGCCAAGAACAAGCCAGTCTCCCCAGTGGCTGAACTCAGAGCCCCCCGGGAGGAGGCCACAGTGAAGCTCTGGCTGCTGTCACCGAGGGCCTGACCGCCAGGCCCAGACTGATAGGCCGGGCTGGGACCTGGACCCCGGCTAAGACAATGGAGGGGCATCTGGGGTCTGAAACACAAAGCCCGAGGCCAAACGATGGCGCCATGTGGGAATGTGGTGGGGAGGTCACAGATGGGGACGAGGACACGGCTTCGATATGCACAGGCGCCACGTGGGAATGCAGTGGGGAGGCCACAGATGGGGACGAGGACACGGCTGCCATGTGCACGGGGGCCACATGGGAATGCAGTGGTGAGGCCACAGATGGGGATGAGGACACGGCTGCCATGTGCACAGGTGCCACGTGGGAACACGGTGGGGAGGCCACAGAAGGGGACAAGGACATGGCTGTGATGTGCGTGGCACCCGCAGGAGTCCGTGATGAAGGCCACCCGCATTCCAAAGGGATTCCTTTCAAGGCTGCGTAACTTCAGGACAAACACCTTTCCCTTCCCAACAAGAGACTCTCTTCCCTATGCACACACCAGTGTCTCCAAGCAAACCCTCAAGACAGGGAACTAGGACCTGCCCGTCCAGGCCCTCAGCTGCCGGGGAGGGCGATGCCAGCTTCTGCCTGTTTCCTGAACTTTCTGAGAAGCCTGGACTCTCTGTAGGACTCACATATTTTTAGGACGGGAAATGTAAAAAAAAAAAAAAAAAAGCAGAGATGGATTAGGAAGCAGGCCCTGCACACAGCATTCCATTTTCCAAGACTTGGTACCCGAATATTTAATTCACGTAGAAAACATATGTAAACGGTCTCTTACCAAAACCCCCTCTGCGGGCGGGGGAGGGGTGTGGGCAGCTCTGAGGGCCTGGCCCAGGTCACGTGGTTTAAAAACGCCCATTTAAACTGCCCAGGACTCCTGTGGCAGTTCTCTGGTAGCATATGAATGCTGTGGATTCAGGGTGCAACTGTGTCCTTTAAAAAAATGCCATTTCAGTGAAAACGGGAATATTTAAGGTCTAACCCAGGAGGTAAACATCTATTATTTAAAACACAAAGTTCATTTTAGGAAAAGTGATTTAAATACGTCGTGGTCGCAATGCCTGGGCCTTCTGCCTCTGGCACGGTGCGGAACCTGTCACAACAATGACCTCTCTGCCTCAAGCTCAACGAAACAAAATGTATTATTCCACTGCGGAGGTATAAACGCCGCTGAGTTTCCTACATATTAAAATGTTTTTTAGCTCCTATGCTGACCTCAGCACTTACACGGTGACATGATGGGTGAAGAGAATGATTGAGGCCAAATTTATTCAATGTGGACTCAGCTGCGAGCATGCAGGGAGGGAGGCGTGGGGTGGACGGAGGTGGCTCACGGGTGGGTGGGAACGTCGGGGGAGGGAGGCGTGGGGTGGACAGAGGCAGCGCGCAGCAGGGGGATGTCCCGCCCTCTGCCCCCCACCCCCGCACACACACAGTGAAGGCGGCTGGCTCAGGCTCCTCCACGCGGCCACAGGAGCAGGCGTCGGCCTAAAGGAAATTATGCATTTAGGGCACTGAAAAGCTGCATTTTTCAAATTGCCCCAAGGAAGTACCAGCTCACAAACCGGTTTCAACCCCAAATCCGCCCACACTGGATTAATTAAAGAGATTGCCTTGCTGTGTGGACAGTGTCTAGGGTCCTGTTTTCAGCCCTGGAATCCTCGGGATACACACAACAGCAGCCAGAGGTGACGCCTCTCTCACAGGGCTGGGCCTGGGGCCCGGGGCCGGGCAGGAGAGTGTCTCCCTCATGGGAGGACATCCCGCCGCATTCTCCCACAAAGCCCCCAGATGGCAGGCATCCGTGGCCCGTGGCTCCGCTCTGCGTGGGGGGTGGGAGGGGCGCCTGACCAGGACGACATGGCGGCCACCACAAGACCCACTTGACCTGTAGCACAGGCCCGTCTCACCCGCGCCACGCCAAAGCTGCCGAGGTGACAGGACAGGGTCCTCGTAAAAAAATACACAATGTACGCACCACGGAGACTTTACTCAAGAAACCGAGAAAAAGCAGAAACAAAAATAAAAGACATAAAAAATGGAGCCAGTAGTCAAAGGGAGCGCCCCAAACCCCAGGTTGGAGGAGCAGGTCACACGCTTCAGAGTCCTCCCTCTCCCACCCTCAGAACCAAGGTCGGAGGCACAGGACATGCCCCAGCGTCCTCCCTCTCTTTCCCCTCTTTTCTCAGCCAGGCCTGTCTCTGGCACCTACCAGAAGCCGGATGGCGGCTGCCGCGGGGCTGTGGGTGTGATTTCTGCACTGCAGCAGGTGCCTGCGGGCTCTGGGGGCCACAGGGACAATCCAGGAGAAGCCACCAAGAGACAGACACACAGCATCCACTTCCTCACCTCCTGGTTGTGCAGTGCGCAGAAGCCTGCGTGGGTGTGGGCGTGTGCACCAGAAGTGGGTGTGTGCAGGCGAATGCGTCCATGGGAGTGCCTCTGTTTGCAGCACCAGTGTGGTCTGCAGAGTCAGGTGTGTGTGTGCCTCAGCAGTGTGGTCTGCGGGGTCAGGCGTGCGTCTGTGGCACTGGTGTGGTCTGCGGGGTCAGGCATGCGTGTGTGGCATTGGTGTGGTCTGTGAGGTCAGGCATGCGTCTGTGGCACTGGTGTGGTCTGCGGGGTCAGGTGTGTGTGTGTGCCTCAGTGGTGTGGTCTGTGGGGTCAGGCATGCGTGTGTGGCACTAGTGTGGTCTGTGGGGTCAGGCGTGCATCTGTGGCACTGGTGTGGTCTGCGGGGTCAGGCATGTGCGCCGCAGCGGTGTGGTCTGTGAGGTGGGACACCAACAGTGCTTCCCTGTTAACTGGCCCGGCCTGGCTTTAAGGGGCAGCGTCACCTGCCCGACACCCTGTTCTGGCCCCTTCAGCTCTGGGGTGTCCCTCCAGAGCAGCGTGGACTCTTGGTGGGTGGTTCCCAGCGTGCAGAGCAGGGAAGGAATGCGGATGCCATGGCTGGAGACTCAGGTCTGAGCCAGAAGTGGGGACAAGGCCTAGTGTTCTCTGAACACACATGTGCACATGTCCACACACAGCCAC